TGGGGGCCCCCGCCAGGTGTAAAAAACCCCCAAAAAAAAAAAAAAAAAAAAAAAAGAGGCTCACTCCTTATTGTTATACCATCTGGTTTTCCAAATCCAGTTTAAAAATAAGCACTGAGTCCTGTTATTGTAAGGCAAATAAAATATTCTTTCTTCCTTATAATAAAAAGTCTGAAATGGTGATATTTTTCCTGAATGCACAGAAAATAGGCCATGTGAATGTGAGAGTCTGTTGAGGACTCAGTATTCAGAATATCTACATGTTCAGAAAACCTAACTAAAAGAAGTCAAATCAAGACCAACCCACATAGCATTCATACACCTTTATTTTTTATTTTTATTTATTTTTTTTAGTAAATTTTACTTTAAGTAGAGCGAGGGGGAAAAAAAACCCAGAAACTCTAAGAGGTTAAGTCAAACACCCACTCTACACAGATAAAACCTTCACAAAGGTCAACTGAAGTAATCCAGAGCTAAAACTGAATTGTGCAGATTTTCAATGAAATCACCAAACAACTCAACGTAACATAAAAAAGTTAATTATTTACACACTCAGCAAGTCCTCTAAGAAATGTGTCCCCAGCAGCATTAAACTTTGTTTTGTGCCACCCTGAAGACTTACACACTTTATTTTCTAGATAGTTTGACATTTTTACTGGAGTGTGTTCCCACCATGTGGCGATGCTTTGGAGCTATTCTATAGGTAGTCTTGCCTGTCCTATCTTGTCATTTCCTCAAGAGGAGCTCTGATTCTGCTTTAGAAGTTTCACATAAATTCATATATCTTATCAAATATTAATATGAAGTGACACAGGATACAACATATGTAGCCAAGTTACCTCTCTGTATATTTGGGAATTACTTTCTCCTTGTTGGTATTTGTACCAGAAAGCTCAGTTTGTCCTTCTTAATAATCAGTAGTACAGGTTTAAATGATCAGAACCTTGGCAAGACCTTAATATTCCAAAATTATTAACAACTATCTCTAGGGGCAAGTCCATGTTAATGAATTATGATGACAATGTTATTATGAGGGAAAACAAGGGTAGCCGGCCAGCTTAAAAATGCCCCAACCACTGCTCCTCAATATGGAAGGACTAGAACTGCATATGGTTTATCCTACAGCAGATCCCATCTCTATCCCCTGAAATTCCCCTAGTTTCATTCACTAGAAGGGGATTTTTTTTTTTTTAAGACTTAAAGAGCTTTCAGTCTTTTCTTTTCTTTAAAAGGAAATCTTGAGTGTCAACTGTTGTATTGGGCTGTATTAGGTTAGAAAATATTATAGATGTCTCATAGACCCACAAAGGATATAAAAGTAGCTGTTTAGGGGACCAGCAGTGGGCATAATGGCTATGTCAGTGGCCTCCCATGTAGTCCACTGCTGTTCGAGTCCCAGACCCAGCGGCTTAAACTCACTCTGGGCGCGTGTGCGTGTGTGCCCAAGATCCTGAGAGGAGAATAGAGGAGAAGGGGTTGCAGTGTGACCATCCTTCTTGGGGGAGTTATTTCTCACTTTCTGTCTATCTCTGTCTTTCTGGCGAGCGCACACCCCTTATAGCAAAAACCTCTCCAAAAAAAAAAAAAAAGTAGCTATTTAGACCAGGGATCCTCCAAGGTTCCTCTACTGATGAAAATTCTTACCAAGACCTCTTAAAACATCTCTTTACTCATTCTTAAAGGTATTAAGCAGTTGGGCTGCTCATGCAAAAACATTCATAAACTTGTTTATTTGCATACAGATGGGCAAACATATTATATCCACAAACCTGCCAGAAATATAGCATAGTACTGAGTAACTGATGATACATGAGCACTGACAATCAGAATGGGCAGTGACTGGAATAGAGTTCAGGAGGCTTTCTTCTAGGTCACATGTTGCTCCTTTATATTCTGGATTATTGGGTGATGTGGGCCATCCAGGGAGGGACTATGGACTGGGTGAGAGGAGGGAGACACTTTGAGGGTTCAGTTTAACTGCTGTTTCCCAACTAGTATGGAAATATTTTCATATTTTGTAGTAGGTATGGCCATATAACTGATTATTAGCCCTGTTAGCCCTTTGGCTCTAATTATGTTGCCATAATATAAATTATTTGACCTTTCTAGGGAGTTCTAGATGTTCCTTTAACTTATGCTGTTTGTCCCAGTCTTTCCTCTACTGAATGTCTTTCCCT